TTGTCTGATTAAATTTTTTCCTTTGTTTTACAGGCTCTGTGACTACACTGTTATGTTTAGAGAAAGGGGAGGGGCAGGAGGGGCCAACCGTTATTTCCAATAGGATACCCACCACCATTTCTGTTTCCCCAGGAAAGAAGGTGAAGTTAGAAGTAGGTCTTTTTAGCATGTGCCTTGTTCTTACCCTCTCCTCTACTAATTCAACCATTTGTTACTCAAACTTTATTCAGCCTCAGCTTCTTAAAGGACTCAAGTGAAATGTCATTAAAAGTTCTAAATGTTTTTCTCTACTCTCCCCCTTTTTTCAAGGAAATATATTTATGCTGGGGGAAAGAAAAAAATGGCAATGCAGAAAGTTCTTTAAGAAGCTAATGAATCTTTTGTGCCTTCAGAGAACAGCCTACGAGCACAGAGCATCCGCTAGAGAAAACAAATTCAGGCTGGTGCCGGGAGAGAAAGAGAAGTTACGGCGGCCTCGCACAGAAAATTCTTTATTTAGAAGTAAGACGGTAAGTTACTTAACTATTAAAGCCCTTTTCCAGCAGCCCGGGAGTTGGAGTTCTTTAGCCACCTCGACTGACATATTAAAAATAACATAACTGGATCCATATAAAGTCTCTGCTTATAGAATTAATTATAAGCCACTCAGCTTAGACAGGATCCTGGCACAGTACAATTACAGGCCCAAGGCGTTCTACGCGTGAATTCCAGCAGTGCAGAGACCAGCCAGCCTTTATAAACCGTGTAAGTAAGAAGGAGGAGCCCCCGCCCCCCTCCTAAGTCTCGGCCTCCCGTGGGGCGCCTTCTGGCGCTTTGTTCTCTCAGCCGCGCTGCCCAGAACAGTTTACGTTTTCACAATAAATCCCTCTAACAAATGTACCCTTCTCCGCTGGGGCATTTTTTCTTTTTTAAGGTATGTATTTTATGAACATCAGTTGATAAAGAACCTTACACAATGTTCGGGTACGTTATGGGCATGTCTTTTCTGAGGTTTGCAGTTTACACCCCCTTTCTTTCCACGTTTTTAAGTCTTTGACATTCCTAAACTTCCGAACTCCCTAGGATCACGTATCTTCCACGTGCCCCCCATAAAAGAAAAGGGGATCATCAACTTGGCAATAGGAAAATCACAAGTTAAACCCAGAGAAAGATCACCGGCCTGTCCTAAAATCTCGACAGTTTATTTACAGTAAAACTCAACATGAATCGTCCTCTCGAATGTGCACGATTTTGGGGGGCATAAGCATGTAACTGATAAGCTGGAGGAGGAAGGGAAAACCCCACCGAAAATTCTTATACATTTTAAACTTTGCATCTTCTGCGTATATGATTTTAAAAGGGCTTCTCCCGCTCAACGGCACCATTAAAATAATACTGTGCGGCCCTCTGCGCGCGCCCCCGCCAAGCCT